CTCGAGGCTGCGGTGGCCGGGAGTGGCCACTGCACTCTAGTCTGGGTGACAGAGTGAGACTCCAACTCAAAAAAAAAAAAAAAAAAAAAAACAGTACTCTGTTCAAGCCTCCATCATCTCAACCTGGCCACTGCCTCTACAATGCACTCTGCACGCACACTCGGAGTGAACTTTTCAAAATGTTGATATATATATCTATATACTATAGGTATTAGTATATATATATACTAATACCTATACATCGACACTTTGTAAAGCCCACTCCAAGTGTGCAATACCTATTATAAACTCTAAAATTTGTCATACCAAAACTACCTCCTTAGACCCCCTCCAATGGTGTCCTATCATATTTAAAATAAAGTCCAAACTCTGGCCCAGTCCCCAGGTCACCACAAGATTGGACTCTGCTGTCCTCTTGGAGCTCTCCTCCCACTCACAACACTCCAGTCACATGGGCCTCCTTTCTGCTCTTTGCAAATCCTGAACTCATTCCCTCCTCAGGGCCTTTGCACATGTTCTTCCTTGCCCCCATAAAAGTCTCTCTTATCATGACATAACTAGCTCCTCATCACATTTCAGGTCAAATGTCACTTCCATAAAGAAGCCTACCTGAACTATCCAGCTAAAATAGTCACCCAGCTACTTCTAACTCTCTGTATAGCACATTTTCTAGATGTTTCTCTTCTTAATGAACTTTTAACATTTTTATTATCTTGTTTCTTCCTCTCCCCATCCCCCAGAATATAATTTCCATAAGATCAGGTGTTTGTCTTATTTGTCACTGTCCCTGTACACAGCACAGGTGACACAAAATAGGCCCTCAACTAGCATTTGCATTATAAATGAACAAGCTGGAGATATGAACCTTTTTCCCTCCACCCAGTTAAAACATCAACCATCTCTATGAAGATGGAGGAAAGCACCAGGAGCCAAGGAATGTAGGTGGTCTCTAGAAGCTAGAAAAGAGAAGGAAATGGACTCTCCCCCAAACTTCAGAAATAACGTAGTCCTGCTGACCCATTTTAGACTTCAGACCTCCAGAACCAGAAGACAATAGATTTGTTTTAAGCCACTATGTTTGTGGTAATTTGTTCCAGTAGTGGTAGGAAACTAATACGTTATCTAATAGGAAAAAGATCACAAGGTATTACAAATGGGGTTTCACCACGAACACCTCAGGGTACAGGCAGGTAAACACAACAAGGAAAGCAGGACAAGGGGTTGTCTTTCCTAAAGAAAGCAGTTCGTACTCAGCTCTGATTTCTGTCCTGCTGAAAGGCAGGCCACATGTTGCCAACCTTCAATACCTCAGAAATAGCTAGAAATGTATGTGTTCACGAGATATGATACAATTTTTAAGTGCCAGGATCTAATTCAAACAATATAAATAACACATTGCCAAATAAAGCACATATATATTTTTTTAAGCAGTAGTTATCTCTCAGAATCAAGCTCAAAAGCACCTCTTCCATGAATCTTTCTGACCCACTCCAGCTTTCAGATGTCTCCCACATCTCTGAATTTTACAGGGCCATCCATGTTGACATTTATCCATGCCCTGCCTTGGGTAATGACAATAAATAATAGTGACTAAGACTATTTAGTCAGTATTATTTATTAATGTCTCAAAACTTGCCAATAACTATATTCATTTCCTCTCATCCTAATTCCAATAGCAGCTCTGGAAGGTAACATCCTCCCCATCTACAGATGAAAAAAATAAGGCTTAGAGACATAAGCTACTTACTTCCCCAAGGCACCACCACAGTAAACAGCAGAGCCAAGGTCTGAGCTCAGGTCTGACTTTTAAAAGACCTCACTCTTGCCATGTTGCCAAGCAACCTCTTCTAATTTTATACAGAGGTTGTGCACATCTAGTCTGCACAACTAGATTATAAACTCTGAGGGAACAAGGAATGTGAGGTGTGCCCCACACTGAACTCTACCTTCATCAGACACATTAACAGACGTCTCCCACAACCAGGAGTCAGACCTCTGTTCAAGCCAGGTCAACCTTACACTCAACTTCCTCATCAGTAAAATGGGGATGAGAATAATGGCTGCTTTAGAGGGTTGAGGTGTGACCTAAAGCAATTAGCACAAGCTAAATATGTGATGAACTGCAGAACTTATTACTATGCACCAGTAATGGGCTACACTCAATAGGAAACGTAAGAAACTACCGTCCCAGGGAAATCAGTCAGTCAAATTAGACAGATATTCTATGAAACATTAACATGAATAAACAGCCACATAAACTATGCTGAATATGCAGCATTGTATTTACTACAGTTTAAAGGATACACACTCAGATCTGCTTTAATCCATCAGGCCAAGCTCACAGGTTGGACCCGGCCCACCATGGACAAGTGAGAAGGGACAGGAGGACAATCCAGAGAGGAGGAAAAGGTGTAAAAAGTTTCAGAAGCAAGAAACAAGAGGTCTATGGGGAGGCAGAAAGCCAATTCGCCTAACAGCAGGAAGTTCAAGCAAGTGTCTTCTTAATAAAAAGGCAGTAAGAAGACAAATCGTCAAAGACCTCAAATATCACACTAAGAGGCTTGAACTTTATCCTGCAAGTTCTAGAGTAACACCAAAAGTTGAAGAGGGCGTGACGATATGACCAGAGCTGTGTTTTAAGAAGTGTGGTCAATATGGGCCAGGCAGATGGAACAGGGCAAGTAAGGTTGATGGCTGACTGCCAAGAGACACATGACTATAAGCTGCTAGAGCCCACGTCAGGATGACATCTTTCTTCCTCTTTGACTCCTCACTCTCTTAAGCCATAGCCTAACTCGATACCTCACATATATCAGGTTCTCAACAAAAATGAAACTGAATGGCTATCTGTCCATAGAAAGTACCAAAGGTTAGATTGCAAATAACGATATGGCTCTTTGTTCCCAAACACTAAGGTAACTCCCAGTCTTTGACAATTTTTCTTCTCTCCTACATGAAACCAAGTCAGGTATATGGGAAAAACAGATATCCAAAGACTCACGTTTCTTTCTTAGTGTAAAAAAGTGGCTGTCCAGCCAAGTCTTCATTTCCCAGGACCCCTTGC